AAAAAAAAAAAAGGTTCACAAGATGGGTTAGAGATGGGTGGGAAAATATTATTTGGGGCTTTAACAGTGCATTCATTTAGTGGAATTCTATCTACCCAAGTCACTTAATATAACCAATTCAGAGTGTGTGGATACAGGCAGACCTAAAACCCACCTACCGAGTTCCCTAAAATATGTGTGCAAGTGTACCTGAGAGAATTGGTGCTGTTTTAAGAGCAAAGGATGAACACACAAAACATTTTTTTGTTTGGTAGGTTGTTAATTGGTAGATTATTGTTGAAAGCATCTTTAATATACAGCATTTTCTCACAAGTGCCAAAACGTTTGCAGTTATGTAGGTTTGTAGTCTTTCTGCTACTGTGGTGGGCTATGCCAGGTGCCCATTTCAGATCCAAATAGTATTCAGCAGAGTTCTGCTATAAATTACCAGCCAAAAATCACACAACACCAAAGAAACAATTAAAAGCCTAGGATACGAGAAAATGGTTCTAGACAGAAGACTTGATTGCCTCCTCAATTATTCCGAAATCTATTACTAGAACTGTTTAAAAGCATAAATTTCCCAGAGTTTGCGAGTGATAAAATATTCATGGGCCAATGGGCATCCTGAAATCAAATTTGTGCGCATACAAATAGGAAACAGATACGAGATAACACGGCCAAATATCACAAAACATGTTTATCAAGTGAAATGCATGCATAATATAAAAACTGAGTAAACACTGAAGTGAATGAAAGAAATAATATTTTTTATTTACAGTGGTGGCAGAATTAAAGCTGAACTCCATGCAGGCTTGTAAGCTCTCACGAGCAGGGCCCTCCTAACTCCTGTACTGAAACTGTATTGTTAATTGTAGTGTCTCCCTCAATTTTGTAAAGTGCTGTGCAAACTGTTTGCGCTATATAAATCCTGTATAATATTAATAATAATAATAATAAAGCAAGCAATAAAAAAAACTCACTTACATCACTGAAGTGCCTGGGGTAAAGAGAGATGGAAATAGAGTCGTTACATAGTCACCCATTTGTACACTAAATATATCTGCATCTTTTCATGCACATGTCACGTATGGGAAGGGATGTCCATGGGTGGTGATTACAGTTTACTGTTTGTATCTGGGATAGGTTGCTATCATAAAAAGGTACCATCTTTTTCTTCTCTGCCAATAGACTTTTTTTACAACAAGGAAAGCAATACTATCATGATGTAGGGGTAGAGGCATGACCAGTGGAGAAACGAATGCAAAGCACGCTCATACATATGCCCTTCTCTGATGTTAGCACACTATGCATTACATATTTCTAGCATTTGGATGCACTCCTTCAACTTGCCACTGCAGTAAATAGTAACCTTTCTAGGAGCCCAGAAGGAATTCAGCCATAGACTCTTTATGTGCATGAAGTTAGCTCCTATATTGAAAAAAAAGGAATGCAAAACAGAAAATACAGTAACTGCTATCCCTAAATAATAACCTAGAAGCAATTTTAATATCTACTTATTTTTTTTCCTGCCCGGATTTAAATTTAAATTATAATTATTCATCTTTAGAGGTTGCTTCATTGCCTCTTCAATGGAGCTTACAATCTAGCAGACACACAAGCACACACCAATATTTGTAGAACACCATACATACAAAACATCAGACTCTGCAACCTTGACAGCCCCTGTGAAAACACATTCAAACAAATGCTTGAATACCCAGGTAGGACATTTTAGGATGATGCCCATTATTCTTAGCTGCCACTAATTAGATAAGCACACTGCCACAGTTCACAGGCATACGCATACAATACTGTATATGTAATATACAGTATGTAAATTTATGTGCTTAGGTTTCCTCACAAGGTCCAACAAAAACATAGTGAGAAAATACAAACTCCTTGCAGATTGTACACTTAGATGCCTATTTAAAGAGAGCAAAATAATATGTTTTTATCAAAGCAAAGTTATAGAAAATGGTGAAAAATTAATGGACTGGCAACAAAAATACTCAAACCTGAAAAATTTTCCTTCTCTAGCTTTCCCTAAGGATTACCTCTGATTTAGAGAAGTAGTGAACTCTATCTGCAAAAAATATTTTACTGGTTTATTCACACGTAAAAGAAAAAAAAAAAAAAAGGAGGAGTGGAATAATTGCCCAAAGCAGCTTTTAAAATCGATGAAACTGTCAGAATAGTTATTTCTCATGAAAAGGCTAAAAAAGCAATTTCGACCTTTATTAAAGGGGCTCCTTACTGTACAGGGAATGGAACAGAACAGTTTCAATTACAAACTTTTAAACTTTATTGTAACTTCATAACTGCAGAAGTACAAAACAAGAATAGCAGGAGGAAAACCAGAACAATTTTATTACTGAGATAAAGTAATAATGAAGCTTTGGGTTTGTAGCTGAGGCTGCTAAACTCCTGTTCCTGCTGCTGTTCCTTCTACAACAAGATGAAGTCTGTATGCTGTTTTTGATTGTTGAGCACAGACAGGTACCTGCTACTTGGAAATGTATGTGATTATTAAGTATTGAGTTTCTTGACTACATATGGAGTCTGGCGTCCAACCCATAGTTCCAGCAGAACAAAGCAAAAATATCCTCCTTACAGCATTCCTAACATGGAATTCCTAATGTGAGGCCAGGTTCACACTTGGGTGATCCATGACCGCGCGTCAATCGTGCACCAAACCACGCAGATGGCGCGTTTACGGAATCGCACACCACCGTTGATCACGCTGGCAGTGCCGTTGTTTTCTAATGGCATCCCAGTTGCGCCAGGCAGATCGC